TTGTTCTCAGGCAACACCCCTTTAATATCATAGAAAAGGACTGACGGGCCTGGTGAAGGGAGCTCTTGTTTAACTTCAATCAAGAAACATCTTAACGGACTTGAGAGCTAAGGCAACATTTTTGTTTGGACTATTGGACTCTGCAAAACCAGGACTTTGCAAGTATTCTACCTTCTTAACTCCTTTCTTTTATTTCTCTGTTGCTTTATTGTTCTCTTAATGTATTTGTAACATCTTTTTCTGTAAATATTTTAATTGCACCATTTTGATATTTTTAGTAATAAACCCTATTTTGAAAGGGGACCCAAGAAGAGGAGGATCAGGACCACTCTGTGCAATTCTATTGCACAGAGCAGGTAAGTATAGACATGTTTGTTATTAAAAAAAGAAAATCACCCCAGATATCACCCCATCATTTCAAATGTAATTATATGTCATATGTGTAGTATGGATATGAGTTCATTTTTACCTCCGGAGGTACCATTCTCCCTGGGGGTGGAGGTGGCTTCAGGGAGGGGTTTCTTGTGACACTCACACTATATATAGCCCACCATTAGTGGGAGTTCTCTCTTTGTCACCATGTGCTCTGTGTGAGTTGGTGGTGCAGCAACTGGACTTGGAGTTTAGGTGAGCTTTGATGATACTATTTTTATTTGCTTTGGAATACCTATAGGTTAACATCATCAGTCTTAGGCTTACTTAGGTTATTTTTGTATCCAATATTAGATCCCCCATTTTCTTTTCACTTTTAGACTCATGTATGAGGAAATATCCTGGCCCTCTTGGGCAACACTTGGTTGAGTCTTAGATTCAGGAATTCATTGGAAAATGTTCTATCTAGGGTTCTCTTTGAAGCTTGTGAAGCTATAAGATTCAGAATTTTGAGGTAAGTTTCAAAGATAGTTGTATGTTTGTACAACCATGATGGTGGTTTTGATATACTGTACATGGTAAAGGTTATATTAGTATTTCCAATTCGCTATGCAGAAGTCTTTTGAAAGTATTGCCAATATTGTGGTGTTGTACAATTAGACCCTTCCCCATGGACTGGTCATCTGACACATTATCGCACATGTGAATATAAGGTAACAACTATTTCCCTTTTTTTTTTCTCTTGGGCCTTTCTGATTTTGTTCCACAACCCAGGGTGGGTATTTATTAATTGGGGTTAATTATATCAACAGGCTCTATGTTAGAAAATTGGTGGTTATGATTGTTTACAATGTTGTTTACAGTGCTGTTATTGTTATAATTTCATATTGCCATGGTCACATTCACCCTATAATTTCATAATTTCCCTTGTATACTCATTTACAACACTTTCCTGTTTGGCATGTATTGTGACATAGACCTTCTACCTCATGATAGCCTAAAGAAGATATAATATTAAGTATATGGAATTTAAAGGCAGCACACAGCTTTCCCACAGAATCAACTAGATGGCATTGCAGCAAAATTTAAAATTTGCTCACAAACAAAATAAGCCCATATTTATGTTACTTAAGTCGGCCATAGATGGTTCGAAGCTCGGGCCGGTTGAACAGAGACCTGCCTAGATTCTAACCATGGGCAGACTGAATGTACCCATGTTGACCGATCCTCACTGCGCTGTATTTAGCCTGTGAGAGAGCAGAGCTGTAGGAGGAACCCAATAGGCCCACCCACTACAGGCTGCCTGCAGAAAACTAAGGAAGGGGGTGGATACAAGACCAGTCACTTTGCACAAGGAAAGAGAGCAGCACTGACTAGTCTTAATATTCTGCGCAGAGAAAAAGTTTCACTATGGATTACTGTACAGATCTACATAAAGCACACCAAGATTCAAGTTAGGGTCCTTTCACACAGGCATTCCGTTTGTTTAATCAGTTCACTCATTTTTTTTTCAAAGAAAAAAACGGATTTAGTTTACATCAGTTTTTCATCAATTTTAAATCATTTTTTACATCCACTACCAATGCAAAGACAGATGCAAAAACAAACTATCCGTTAACATCCATTTTTTGTCCGTTCCGTGACAAAAGTAGGGCTTTGATCCATTTCTATAAATGGATTTTGCTGGATGCGGATGTGAATGGAAGTAAACAGATGATCATCCGTTTACATCTGTGTTTTTCCATAGAGATGCGAAGATGTCCGTTTTTTTCTGATGGATGAAAAACGAACAAACAAAACACCTGTGTGAAAGGGGCCTTAGAATACACATAACACTTATATTTAGAGAGTATTAGCTTGGGGTTTAGCTTTAACTGAAAAGGCTTATCAATAGGTATATTCATTTCCCAGTTTTGTTAGCAGTTGTAGCAATTTCCTGAACCATAACTGCAAATACATGTGTCACATGGTTAGGCCACTGTAAAACAAATTATATGTAATAGATGCCAGGTTATTGCAGTCATAAGTATTCTGTTAAGGCTTAAAGAAACATAAAGTTAAAGGCCAATTACAGCACTCCCACACATAACATCAGGCATTTGATATATAGCTGCTTGGTATATAGAGAAAAGATTTTTCATTTTAGATGAGACATTTCTGTTGTCTGTTCCCTTCAGCAGAATGAAGCAGAAACAAGGTTCATGGATTATACATTTGTCCTGTGTATCTTCTTCTTATAAGGTGCATGTTCTGAATATTTATTTAATTAAAATGTATGATTAAAAAAGTTTGATTAACTGACATCATTAGCTGTCAGAGACAAATACTGTACACTCACCGGTCACTTTATTAGGTACACCTGTTCAATTGCTTGGTAACACAAATTGCCAATCAGCCAATCACATGGCAGCAACTCAATGCATGTAGGCATCTAGACGTGGTGAAGACGACTTGCTGAAGTTCAAATCAAGCGTCAGAATGGAGAAGAAAGGGAATTTAGGTAACTTTGAATGTGTCATGGTTGTTGGTGCCAGACGGGCTGGTCTGAATATTTAAAAAACTGCTGATCTACTGGGATTTTCACACACTAGGGGTTACAGAGAATGGTCCGAAAAAGAGAAAATGTCCAGTGAGGACGAAAATGCCTTGTTGATGTCAGAGGAGAATGGGCATTCGATTTCAGCTGCATCATTCAGATGGCAGGGTCAGAATTTGGCGTAAATAACATGAAAGCACGGATCCATCCTGCCTTGTATCAATGGTTTTGGCTGGTGGTGTAATGGTGTGGGCAATATTTTCTTGGCACTAGCAGGGTGTACCTAATAAAATAGCCGGTGAGTGTATATTATTATTATTATTATTATTATTATTATACAGTATTTATAAAGCGCCAATGGTTCGCTCAGCGCTGTACATTACAAAGGGGAACAGAACATGTGACAGAACAATACCAATACAATGCAAAACATGAGGGGATCGAGGGCATTCTAAATTCCTATTAGTCCATGCCCTCAAGGAGCGTAAAATCTAAGGTTCCTCAAATTCATACACAACTCACATTCATACATACACATACTAGGGCCAGTTTAGACAGGAGCCAATTAACATACCAAAATGTCTTTGGAGGGTGGAAGGGAACTGAAGTACACAGAAGAAATCCATGCAAGCACAGGAAAAACATGCAAACTCTAGGAAGGTAGTGCCATGGTTGGGATTCAAACCAAAGACCCTATTGCTGCTAGGCAGAAGTGCCCATCTTTCCTTTACAGGGTAGCTTAGAATGGGAGTCGGAGTAAGTTTAAGCTAGTTATGTTTTGACCGGACTTCTATTTTAAGTGGATCACTTTTCACTCAGTGTGGCTAAGCAGCCACTGTCAGATGTTCAGGAGATGATCCTGCCACCTCTTGAATAACTGTTTATATTGGGACTAATGTGCTGCAACCACGAGTCAATTATTTGGCTTGCAGTACGGTGCGGCCCCTGTGACTTGAATGATTTAGGATATGGCCACGGCATGAACTGTATTGTAGTCTTCAGTTGGGGAGCAGTAAAACTGCAGCTCCATTGCCTATTTTTAGCGCCCCCTGGCTGACAGTGTGAAAGAGGCATAAGAGAAGTTCAGAAGCAGAGTATTTTATTTGAGGGTTTATCAGTGTAGGTGTAAAACCAAGGGTGAATAGGGAGAATATATCTGGCCTAGCAAAAACAGAAATCGTTATAAATAACATGCTATAAACTATATGCAGCAATCATGTAATGTGCTACAGAATACTAAAAGACGGAACAAGCCCTATGCAGTCTGATCATAGAGAAGATTAAATGTCTCCCTTGTTATTCACTTGGTGACTGTTACAATGGGGGTGCCATGTCTAGTAGGATATGAGCCCGCTGATTGACAGGTGTGGAGAGCTGTGTAAACTATGATGAAGCACGGCACTAATTAGTGAAACAAACATCTACTAATATAATGTTAACCCTTAGAAATATTTGTGTATTTAGGTTTTGCCCTTTCAAGCCTTTTAAACAATGTTTGTTTCATTTTTCTCTCTGGTATTGAGTTGTTAGCTCATCTGTTTACACAGAGCAGACATTAATATGTTCACACATGAGCCGTAGTCATGTTCAGTGCAGAATACGGCATATCCTATGTGTCCGCACACCGGCTGCTGGCATCAGAAGGTAATGGGAGCTGCTCTCTATTCATTCTACATCAAGCCCTGTGTATCCAGTGTGGCTGCATGGTGCTCTGTTAGTACAGATGACTGCACTTTTCTACAGCTTACATTGTTGACCTGCTTGCATCTAAATATCAGACAATATTTCTGCGAGGGACATAATAAAAAATTAGCTCTATTAGTTGGGTAAGAGCAGGGCCCCCGAACCCCTTGTGTATTGTTTTGTTGCTGTATTGTCTCATGTTCTGTCCCCCACTATAATGTACAGCACTGAGCAAACCTTTCTGGCGCTATATAAATACTGTATAATAATAATAAGAAGGTGAATCAGTAATTTCTTGCTCAGGGCCAGTTCACATTGGAATCGCACAGGAAAGCATGCCATGTTCCTGTGCAGTGCAATTATGCAGCCTACACATTTGAATGGGCTGCAAATCACACTGGAAAACATTAGTGTTACTAAACCCACAAATGTAAAATCAGTCTATATCAGGGGCGGACTGACAACTCATGGGGCCCCCGGGCAATAGGGGATCATGGGCCCCCTGTGTCCTTGCCCAAACTCAAAAAAGCCTATGAAAAAGGTACCAGGGGCATCTCATGGGGCCCCCTACAGTCCCTGGGCCCTTGGGCAGTGCCCGAGTTTCCAAATGGTCAGTCCGCCCCTGGTCTATATATTAGTATTATTATTACAGGTATTTATATAGCATCATCAATTTACGCAGTGCTTTACATATATATTATACATTCACACATATGCAGTAAAGCATGCTTGTTATACTCACTGTGGAACCTAAGGGGTTAATCCTCTGCATTTTGAAAAAAGGCTGTTTGACCCTGTCTTCTTTGATCCTCCCCTTTTTCCAATGCCCCCTCTTATTTCCTGATCAGACATATCATGTGGAATCACTGTGCACATGCTCAGTTTGGTGTGTATTGCTAGAGAGATTTTCTTTTTCTTAGGAGAGTGCATGTGATCAGCACAGGGCCAATCAGCACTGTCCAGACAGAGGTCAGGGGTTCTGCATTCTCCTAGAGCAGAAAGAAAACTCCTCTTACAAGCCTTAACCAGTGTTCTGCTGCACACTTATAGAAGTCACAACGCTGCTATGTACTGCTGATGAGAAAAGGTATTTATCAGTTTATATTTACTAAAATAACTGCATTTCCATGTAGTGTGTACTGTGGGAGACCAGATATAGTGAATGCAGGGCTCTGGGTTTAGTAAAACTTTAAGGCCCTTTTTACACATGGCAGACTCTTCCTGTGATCTGTTTGCTCAACAGGGAATCTGTCTGTTGATCTCCGCTGAGCAGGCGGATGACAGGTCTGTGTCCGCTCCGCATATGCAGAAAGGACACAGACACAGCCCGCTCTCTTCTATGGGCGGTTGGATGTACCTGGACCACCTGTCCATTTACACTCGAATGCCATCCGAACTGACCTGGCAAGACAGAGGAGAAGGGATCCTCATCCATTTGTTTTTAGTCGGATGTAGACAGGTGTAAATGGACATGTCTGTTTACATATACAGCTCCATATAGGAGAATGGAGGTTCTGGTCGAGTCTGCCTGAAAAATGGATGTGATTGGAACATTTGTGTGAAAGGACCCTTAAAGTAGCGCATGTACTAATTTAGAAAATTCACTGCACCAAATTGCATGGTATCGCAATACCATGTGATTTGGTGCCTGCAAACGCACTGAGTTTGGCGTGCTATTACCATTACATTGGCACCCACAGAAGATCACAAGGGCAGTGCGTTTGAGCACAGTGTGGGAAACATGTATGCCTTTCCAGCACCATGTTCTGGTTTGAACCAGCCCTCAATGTTTTATTGGTACTTGGGTTAATAAAGTTAGCGTAATGTCATCAACAGTCCAGAGGAACTGACATAGGATTTGTGAAGGTAGCAAGGAAGGTGGGAAAAGGGGGGTTTAGGCACTGGTCCCTATAATTTTGATATCCTGAACAAACTAGCAGTAATGATGCAACCAACTGCCTAACTGTGCTCTTGTATGCCATGGTAGCCCTCCTAAACCTGGTTGTGGGTAATCAACCAGGTTAGAGAACAGACACCCTCACATATCCCAAAATGCATTGCATATGTGGCTCTTGACTGTTGGAAGCAGGGTGGTCTTGTGGGAAGCCCAGTCCTTATCAACTGTATTGGTGATGTTTTACCTTGCCAGCAAAAACGGTACCTGATTCATGCCCTCAGTGGCCTTGGCTAATTGTTATGTCTGTCCTGAACTTATGGTTAGAACAAGCCTTGAAGACAAATTTTTTTTGGTGCCCACAGTACATCTGTGGCTGGCAGTAGTTTTGGGTTGTCAGCTGCAAGTTTTCAGGTCTGTTGGTTGCTACCACTGGAATAGCTTTCTTATATGAGTGAATAAAATTCCAACAAAGAGCAGCATTTAGTATAGTTGGGGTATAAATGCACAAGGTACAGTGACTTGAAATAGTATTCATACCCCTTGAAATTTTCCACATTTTGTCATGTTAGAACCAAAAACATAAATGTATTTTATTGAGATTTTATGTGATAGACCAACACAAAGTGGCACATAATTGTGAAGTGGAAGGAAAATGATAAATGGTTTTCAAAAGTTTGTACAAATAAATATCTGAAAAGTGTGGCATGCATTTGTATTCAGCCCCTTTACTCTGATACCCCTAACTAAAATCTAGTGGAACCATTTGCCTTCAGAAGTCACCTAATTAGTAAATAGAGGCCACCTGTGTGTAATTTAATCTCAGTGTAAATACAGCTTTTCTGTGATGCCTTCAAAGGTTTTTTTTTTTAGAGAACATTAGTGAACAAACAGCACCATGAAGGCCAAGGAACACACCAGGCAGATCAGGGATAAAGTCGTGGATAAGTTTAATGTAGGGTTAGGTTATAAAAAATATGCCAAGCTTTGAACATCTCATAGATTATTCAATCCAGCATCCAAAAATGGAAAGAGTATGACACAATTACAAACCTACCAAGACATGGCCGTCCACATAAAATGACAGTCCAGGAAAGGACAGCATTAACCAGAAAAGCAGTCAAGAGGCCCATGGTAACTCTGGAGGAGCTGCAGAGATCCACAGCCTGTCACTGGCTAGGAGCTACCGGACAGAGTGTTTATCTCTCATCCACCTTTCCTGCATCCATCCACCTGTCTTGTGAATTCTATGGATTATTCACTGTGGATCTGAGTGCTGATTGTGCTTTTTTTAAGCACAAATTGAACTGGTATATGTCATGTGGCGTTGCAGTAAATTGCTAAGAACAGATCTCATGCTGAATCAGAGCCAAAAGGTACAGATGTTACTTTTGTCACCTTGGTGTCCTTTCTGTGTTTTTTCTCCCAGTCCATAATGTACCTAAGTTAGGTCTATAGACAGGCAAATGTAAAAGACTGTGTGTCCATTTACATTTGACTACCTCTGATCCATCATGTTTAGGTGTGAAAAAATGGAAAAGTACACAATTGTTTCTGTTGTTTGCAGATCTACATAGATTTTGAGGTAATTGGATGTAATCAGACATACATCTATTTACACCCTCCCATGCATTTATATTTATTTATTACAGGTACTTATATAGTGCCATCAATGTATGCAGCGCTTTACACACACACACACACACACACACACACACACACACACATATATATATATACTCTGTATATATAAATATATATAGTACATTCTCATCAGTCCCTAACCCTCAGGGAGCGTACAATCTAAGGTTTCTAACTCACATTCATGCCTACACATACTACGGCCAATTTACCTACCAGCATGTCTTTGGAGTGTGGGAGGAAACTGGAGTACCCAGAGGAAACCCATGCAAATTCCAGGCAGGTAGCGCTGTGGTTGGATTTGAACTGGCAACCCTACTGCTGGAAATGCTAACCATTTAGCCACTGTGCATGGAGCTTCTGTTCAGGTCCTGAAAATCAACAGTCATGACCAGGTAACATACATATACATCATCCAGTCTTAATGGTTATAGTGGTTTTATACCGGTTATCCCGGTATTGTTTTTTTTTTTTAGCCAACTACCTGCTTTCATGCAAAAATAATCCTAGCAGCTGGAATGTTTTTACAGGTAGTGGAAGGCCCCAACCCACTGCACTCTCCGGTGCCTCTCTAGGCTTTCCCATCCCACCAGGGAGCCCAGGACTGAAGCTGGCACTTCCACTAGTTTACTATAGAGTTGTTCAGGGACCAGAGCATTCCCAATTATCTCTATGGTATACAAAACTGGAAGCAACGAGTATTTCGTAATTTCCGGTTCCAGCCTATTATTTACTGGCCTTTAGCGGCTTTGGAATGAATCAATGCAGGTTTGATCCAAAGCTTTCAAGGGCAGATGAGAGATCTGGGGGCTATTTTCTGAATAAACATGAGTTAATAGTGTTCGAATCCAGCCATTTTTGTTTATATTTATGAAATTCTGTGTATTTTTGATTAAGAACACATGCATTTAATTTGTGATTTTTTCTTTATATAAGCAAGTGTATGAAAATCTAACGTCTGCTAACATCACTATAATGAGAACCCCCAAACAGGTGCATTACAGAGGCTCTGTGTAAATGGGATTAAATATAGCTGCCTCACAGCTGCTGAACCCCAGCAAAATTCATATCAAAAGCCACTTTGTTTATCAGATGAAATCTCACATTGATTTCAGATATTTGTAATAAACACAAACACTGCATCAATTATGTAGCTCAGTATTTCTTATGAAAAGAAACCTCATTTCCTCTATTAAATATCCAGTATTTCCCTGGTAACTTGTCATGAAGCATGCAAACCAGAATACATGCCGACCGTTCCTGCAGAGCTCTTGAAATATCATCTGTGACCATCCTATGGATGTTGTTGTTTGGCCTGCTGTTTAAATTAAAGCTACTTTCACACTGAGGCGTTTTTTAAGTGTTTTTGCATGAAAAAAAGCACTCAAGAAAAACGCTTCCCTGTGTATGTGAATGTATATCTATGCATGTTTTCACACTGAGGCGGTGTGCTTGCGGTGTGGTGTAAAAACTCCTGCTTACAGCATCTTTGGGGCATGCTTGGTGAGTAAAAAAAAAAAACGCCCCAAAAAGGCCTCTTCCAATTGAAGTCAATGGAAAACATCTGAAAAGCACCTCAAAAACGCCTCTGAGAAGCATTTTTGGTGCAGTTTTTAAGTCACGTGTCCTTTAAAAATGCTCAGAAAGCACAGCAAAAGAGCGGTAAAAATGCCTATGCATTTTTGCTGTGTTTTTGTGGCAGATCAGTGTGAACTTAGCCTAATAGTAATGGCATTTGGTTGCTACTCTGCATATACTGTACACTCGTACTCATTCTGGGCCAACGATTCTGCTTTGATCTAATAATTTAATCAACAAATATATTAATATACTTTTACTAATAGAAACTGTTATTGTAAAAAGTAAAATGGTGGTCAATCACACAATACCAGCTAAAGGTATAAATAAAACAGCCGGACATTTGCATGAAATACAGTATGTTGTTATGTTGTACAACAATTTAATTACTTATTGACCACATGGCCACAGCCTAAATTGGAACATAGGCAAGGATTAAAAAATCACTTACTCAGTAAGTGATTAAATCAGCTGCTTAAACTGCTTAAAAAAAATGAGGGTTTAATATCACTTTAAAGTGCATATATCCTTAATAAATTATTAAAGTGCAAGAAACACTGCACAAATAACAATAACACACATATAATAAAGTGCATAAAAAAGTTTGTGTCCTTTACGGAAGTCCATCGCCGGTTAGACTTTTTTTCAATAAATGAGAAATTGTTTAGCATCCTCTCAGACACCCATGAGAGATTCCTCAAAACCTGGACTCCATGGATCCAGCATACCCATCCTGAGCTTTCATCAAACAGCTTTACCTAACTTTAATCTGTTTAACTCTTCGAGTAGAATTCAGATGTTTTAGATGTCCATTTTCTTCAATCCGCCTTTATCTTTTTCTCTCTCTTTTTTTCCCTCTTCCTT